ATATATATATATATATATGGCCCCTATTCAGGGCTCTGCTCCCTGTGCAGGAGACTGATGATCCCTATCCGGTCCTCGGTCACGATGTCCTCCGCTTCTTCGCGTTCTTTTCCAGGGGTCGGCGGCAGGGGGCGTTAGCCCTTAAATTCGGCTCCGCCGGCTCCCCACGAGTGGCTTGCCCCACGAGCGTCCCAGAGCGACTAGAGCTCTAAGGTGAGGCGCGCCCCCAGCCGCCGACCCTCCGACGCCGGGCCCCGAAAACCACCAAAAATCCTTCAGGAGGGTGGGGGAGAGCTTTTTGGCCGGGATCCGGGTCGCTCATCAGCGTCTCCAAGAGCATTCCCCCCCCCCCGTTTTGAGGGTACCTAAAATCGGAAAAAAGCGCCGTTTTGACACATTTTTCAGACGATTTTTCGCTTTTCGAAAGTCACAAAATGCTGTAAATTACTAGCATTTTTGCTTTTTAAACATCTTTGCGGGAGCCATGCAAAACGCGAAAATGGCTGTAAAATACCAAGAACTTTTGGACCCCAGTATTGGCACAAACACCGCAAATCCAGTGTTTTTGAAGCAAGGCAAAAAAAACCTGTAAATCCGCCCACACCGCTTTGGCGGTGAAGGCGTGCTTATTGGGGGGCAAAACAGCAACACTAAATGCTCAATGACATTTGTTAATATAGCAGTCGCTATATCAGCTTTAGCTGGGGGGGGGCCCAAAAACGGTTTCGCACCGAGACCAGACCCCAAAAACGGTTTCGCACCGAGACCAGAATACGGTGGTGTTTTCGACATTTTTCGAGGATTTTTGGGTGTCTGAGCGCAAGAGGGTATTGAAATGGAATTTTGGGTCATTTTGGTAGCTTTCCGGCAATGGAAAAACGGCCAAAAATGAAAAAAACATTGTACATAGCAAGATTTTGCAGGGTTTTTGGATGCCAGAGCATTGAAAACACTGCAAAAACAAGTGTTTTGGACTGACGTTATAGCAAAAAACGTGTAAATTACCGTATGCTTGACTGGAAACATTACAAAAACACTGTCAAAAGCAATGTTTTGGAAGGATTTACTGCCTTTATGGCAAAAAACGTGTAAATTACCGTCTGTTTGACTGGAAACATTGGAAAAACACTGTCAAAAACAATGTTTTGGAAGGATTTCTTATTGAAACTTCTTAGCTTGAAGAGCTCCCACGGGGGAAAACCACCCTTAGCCCCTCTCACGGACCGAAATAAACCTGCGGTGTGGGCGGCCACCCCACGCGAAGCGGGGTGAATTACAGCATTTTTGGCGTGTTGATCGCAAAAACTGCTGGTATTCACAGTGTTTTTGCAATTTCAAGAAAACGTGGAAGGCACGAAACACTGTAAATAGCGGTGTTTTGGCCACTTTTGGACGCCAAAACGCTGGTATTTACGCAGTTTTTTGCCCGTGGCGGCGCCAACCCCCTGTAAATTACAGCATTTTCTTCCCTTTCTGAACCGATTTTTTGCCTTGATGAACGGAAAAAACGCTGGTATTTACGCGTTTCCCAAAAAATCGAAGATCGTGACGTGAACGAAACCCTGTAAATAACAGTGTTTTAGCCACTTTCGGGGACTAAAACTGTGGTATTTACGCGGGTTCTTGCCATCTGACAGCGCAAAATGCTGTAAATTACAACACTTTGTGCGCTGTTTATGTTCAATTTTTTAAACTGCGATGCTTTCACCTGTTCTTTGCCTTCTTCCACAAGAAACAATGTTGCAGATTGAAACTGGAAACAATGTTGCAGATTGAAACTGGACGACAGCGTGACCCGAAAGAAAGCTGGAGGGAGGAGTCGCACAGAAGCTTTTACACACACAGGGGCTTTTACACAGAGAAGTCTTTACACAAAGGAGCTTTTTACGCACAGAAGGTTTTACACAGCGAAGTCTTTACTCTAAGGAGCTTTTGCACACAAACGTCTAGGAGCCTTTACACACAGAAGCTTTTACACGAAGAAGTCTTTACACAGAGGGGTTTTTACACACAGACGCGTTTGCACACAGAAGCTTATTTTACACAGAGAAGCCTTCACACAGAGGAGCTTTTACACACAAAAGCATTTACACACAGCAGGCTTTTACACACACAGGGGCTTTTACACAGAGAAGTCTTTACACAAAGGAGCTTTTTACACACAGAAGGTTTTACACAGAGAAGTCTTTACTCTAGGGAGCTTTTGCACACAAATATCTAGGTGCTTTTTCACACAGAAGTTTTTACGCGAAGAAGTCTTTACACAGAGGGGTTTTTACACACAGACGCATTTGCACACAGAAGCTTATTTTACACAGAGAAGCCTTTACACAGAGGAGCTTTTACACAAAAGCATTTGCACACAGCAAGCTTTTACACACACAGGGGCTTTTACACAGAGAAGTCTTTACACAAAGGAGCTTTTTACACACGGAAGCTTTTACACAGAGAAGTCTTTACTCTAAGGGGCTTTTTACACACAGACGCGTTTGCACACAGAAGCTTTTACACAGAGAAGCCTTCACACAGAGGAGCTTTTACACACAAAAGCGTTTACACACAGCAAGCTTTTACACACACAGGGGCTTTTACACAGAGAAGTCCTTACACAAAGGAGCTTTTTACACACAGAAGGTTTTACACAGAGAAGTCTTTACTCCAAGGAGCTTTTGCACACAAACGTCTAGGAGCTTTTTCACACAGAACTTTTTACTCGAAGACGTCTTTACACAGAGGGGTTTTTACACACAGACGCATTTGCACACAGAAGCTTTTACACAGAGAAGCCTTTACACAGAGGAGCTTTTACACACAAAAGCATTTACACACAGCAGGCTTTTACACACACAGGGGCTTTTACACAGAGAAGTCTATACACAAAGGAGCTTTTTACACACGGGAGCCTTTTGGAAGCAAATTTCGGCCTTTTGGCGGCCCCTCGGCCGGCTATTGAATTTCTCTTCTGGGATCATTGGGAAACGGCCGTTTTTGGCCAAATCCTGGCCGGGAGCCTTTTGGAAGCAAATTTCTGCCATTTGGCGGTCCCTCGGCCGGCTATTGAATTTCTCTTCTGGGATCATTGGGAAACGGCCGGTTTTGGCCAAATCCTGGCCGGGAGCCTTTTGGAAGCAAATTTCTGCCATTTGGCGGCCCCTCGGCCGGCTATTGAATTTCTCTTCTGGGATCATTGGGAAACGGCCGTTTTTGGCCAAATCCTGGCCGGGAGCCTTTTGGAAGCAAATTTCTGCCATTTGGCGGACCCTCGGCCGGCTATTGAATTTCTCTTCTGGGATCATTGGGAAACGGCCGTTTTTGCCCAAATCCTGGCCGGGAGCCTTTTGGAAGCAAATTTCTGCCATTTGGCGGCCCCTCAGCCGGCTATTGAATTTCTCTTCTGGGATCATTGGGAAACGGCCGTTTTTGGCCAAATCCTGGCCGGGAGCCTTTTGGAAGCAAATTTCTGCCATTTGGCGGCCCCTCGGCCGGCTATTGAATTTCTCTTTTGGGATCATTGGGAAACGGCCGTTTTTGCCAAAACCTGGCCGCAAGGTTTTACACAGAGAAGTCTTTACTCTAAGGAGCTTTTGCACACAAACGTCTAGGAGCCTTTGCACACAGAATCTGTTCCACGAAGAAGTCTTTACACAGATATATAGCTTTCATTCACAGACGCGTTTACACACAGAATCTTTTACACAGAGAAGCGTTTACACAGAGAATTTTACACAGTGAAATCTTTACACAGGCGCGCTTTCACACAGAGAAGCTTTCACACACAGAAGCTTTTACACAGAGAAGCCTTTACACAAAGTGGTTTTTACACACAGCAACTTTTACACGCAAAAGCTTTTACACAGAGAAGCCTTCAGCCAGAGGAGCTTATACACACAAAAGCGTTTACACACAGCAAGCTTTTACACACACAGGGGCTTTTACACAAAGAAGTCCTTACACAAAGGAGCTTTTTACACACAGAAGGTTTTACACAGAGAAGTCTTTACCCTAAGGAGCTTTCGCACACAAACGTCTAGGAGCTTTTTCACACAAAACTTTTTACACGAAGAAGGCCTGACAGAGAGGGTTTTTACACACAGACGTGTTTGCACACAGAAGCTTTTTTTTTACACAGAGAAGCCTTTACACAGAGGAGCTTTTACACACAAAAGCATTTACACACACAGGGGCTTTTACACAGAGAAGTCTTTACACAAAGGAGCTTTTTACACACAGAAGGTTTTACACAGAGAAGTCTTTACTCCAAGGAGCTTTTGCACGCAAACGTCTAGGAGCCTTTACACACAGAAGCTGTTACACAAAGAAGTCTTTACACAGATATATAGCTTTCACACACAGGCGCGTTTACACACAGAGGCTTTTACACAGAGAAGCCTTTACACTTTACACAGAGAGTTTTTACACACCGAAGCTTTTACACACAGTGAAATCTTTACACAGACATTTCACACAGAGAAGCTTTCACACATAGAAGCTTTTACACAAAGAAGTCTTTACACAAAGTGGTTTTTACTCACAGAAACTTTTACACACAAAAGCTTTTACACAGAGAAGTCTTTGCACAGAGGCGTCTTGACATGAAGTCACAAGTTGAAATTGGCAGCAGTTCTTCGGGAAAAACCCTTGGCAGGAGCTTTCGGGCACTCACTTGCTCCCCAAAAAAGCCGTCTATTTCCAACAAAGTTCCTGTTCTTTTTTTTTTTTCAAAAAACGTAAGGAATATATTTCTGAAGCAGGTCCCCATCCAAAAGCTTTCCAGCCCCCACACTGCGATGAAATGGAGGGCCGAGAAATCCGGCGGAGCCGACGAGGGGCGTTAGCCCTTAAATTGAAACATGGTGACTTGGGGATCCACCATTTAAGAAACCCCCACATCATCACAGCTAGATTGATTGAGCCAAGATATCTCAAAAAGCATGGCATCGTCAGCCTTTTCGGACGTGTACCAGCATCCCACCACATCCCAGTACAACATCCATCCCAACCTTCGGCTTGGGCTTTTGAACTTCGGGTGCAGGTTCAACTTTCGAGACGGTCTTTCCTCAGGAATTCTGGGGAACATCGAGGAGTCTCATGCTCAGATATCCCAGATCAAGAATGACAGCATGGATGTGGTAGGTAAACCGCCATGAAGAATCCCCAAGTCATCACCATTTTTATGGTACAGAAACCATCCCCAGTCATGGTAGTTGTTTTACCATTGGGTGCCCGGCCTTGTGTGGCATCAGCCCACTGGCTAAAGCGCGATCGCCCAGCTGTCATTTAAGCGTGGTTGATTCTGTTGGATGGGGTTGCTCCGCGCGCATCTGGTTTTTCCATTCATCCATCCCAAGTCAGAAGTGTGTTTTCTCTGTTAGACAAAGATCAGCTAACTTTGAACTGTTTTGCGTGCTTCATACTGATGAGAACTGCAACTGCCGCAAATATCCGCAAATAAGAGCGAAAAAAAAAAAACATGCCAATACTTCAATGCCATGTCAAACTCATTTTTGTCAGTCTAAAAATTAGGTGTACCCCAAAACCACCATGTTAATGGAAAATGATGACTAACCTTCAAATTTTGGAATTTTCCCCGACAAACTCAAGCTTGCGAGCATGAATTCGCGAGCATTTTTTGGATCGTGCTGACAACTTCATTGCGCAGTCACTTCTCCACTCAGGTCCTTCACTGCAACAGTCGGTTGTGCCATGGGTTTGTCCCAAGGTATGTACTCCCAAATGGCCCATTTCATAGGAAAAACTATGGGAAAATTATGATAAACTGATACAACGCAAAATTTTGGGGGAGTCCATTTTCAGTCCAATTCTTTGTTCATTGGACCTCACCTGACTCTCACTGTAGCTATCTGTAGCTGGTAATTCAGTTCCGGACGATCTTGTCCCACTTTCCGGAGAGTTGCTGCTTCAGCAGGATGCTTCGATATTCCTGGAATGTCTCAAAGCCATCTGACAAGTGGCAAGCCACTGAAGAAGTGCTGAAGTCCTGTGTGACTTTCGAATCGTAGAAAGACTTAAAATAAAGGTATGGCGATATCACAGGTCTCTTAATAGTGAAAAGAAACACGTGAAATGTGCACACCATGGACTTACTGGTGCTTAGTAGGGAATGGGGAAGGGGGCTGATTGTCAATAGTTATTCAGTTATTCATCATTATTAATAATTCCCCAATTCCCTACAAACCACCAGTAAGTTGAATCATGCCTGATCATCATAGAAATCTTTGCCTCTCCTTGGTGCCGCAGGTCACCAAGAGCTGACTTCCTGCCTGCCACTCCAGGTGCCACACCTCCTGGCAAACTAACAACGCAGCTCTTTACCCATAGCTTAGAAATGGTGATATAGTTATATACTCTACATGGCAAGCTTGTAGATGTTTTTTTTTGACTATTGCCAGTTCATAAATGAACTATACTAGCAAATTCATCAATGATATGTCGCAAAACCAATCATAAGTCCCACATGTCACCATCCGAAATTGGAGCTTTATGATTGGCTTTACCACCAATAGATGTTTGGTTGTAATTCATGTACTAAGGATGACCTGTTGGTATGTTCAATTCAGATCCTCTTCCAGGTCGACCCGAGATTCCACCACCCACTTGGAGCTCTTGTCACCTTGGATTTATAGCATGACTGGCAGGAAACTAGAGAAAACTCAAGAGAAAAGGAAAAATGCAGCATCTAAACTCCAAACATCATCCCATTATCCCATCATCCCATCATCATCATCATCATCCCATCATCATCATACAGCGTCCAAACCACCTGGGTGTTCGGGGCACTGCTCAACTATCGCAAGACCACCCGAACGCCATGCGTTCGCCATGCTGAGAGAGAAACGGCACCAAAATATGACCTCGTGTCCTTTGACAGACCTGCAGTATGATCAAGATCAGCATCTGTATCACTGGTTTCAGGGGACATCTAGAGGAAACCAATGGAAACCATGTTTTCTTCCTTTTGATATGACATGTACAGATATGTAACTGATTGGTTTCAGGGGATATCTACAGGAAACCATGTTTTCTTTCTGATGAATATGAAATGTACAGTGTATACAGACGTTTTTTCACTCCACTAAAACGTGGCTTTCGAAATCCCTAAACGGCCCTCTAAACGGCCATCGCTGAGGACGCGTGCGCCAAGGTGTCATAGTTGCCGTCCCAAGGCTTCCAGGCCACATCACGGAACTCCTGGCGACGTATCAGACGTGCTATATACGGTAGAACCATACGGTAGAACCATGTATAATACCCATGTATAACCCTAAGATTTTGTGGTCAATTGGTCAATCAAATTGTTGTTTGATGTTTGTCAGGTTTGGCTTGTCCATAATTGTGACTCATAACCAATCCAGTTTTGGCTTCACTACAGTTGAGTGTTTCCAGTGCATTTCACTGGTGGCATCAAGTCTATCTGAGTCTGCTGATGAGTCCTTGTTTTCCGAGTCGTCCACCGCTTCTTGCTTAGAGCGGCCTTGGACCTTAGCAAAAACAGCACTTTGATCAGGCCTGGATAGGCCTGGCACATCCTGCTGGTCTGAAGTCTCCAACTTCCAGAATTGACCACACTCGCAGACCTCAGTCGTGTGGACTTTGCATTAGCTTCCAGGATCTGATGAGATTTCTGTGCTCCTCTCTGCTTCCTCATCTCATGAGTTCTTTGAGCAAGATCTAGCTTTGGGCGCTGAAATCGAATCGGAATTCAAGGAGCGTGCCATCAGCAGCAGCAGAAGCCAGGCCTTGTTCAATCTTTCAGACAGACGAACGCACCTTACACTTCTCGTGAGCTGCATTCTAAAAAACTCCCTCTAAGAGCACCGCATGCTCCTGCAAGCTTGCCACGGCTGTCTGGCCCAACCTCACTTCAAAAAGTTCTCTATCGAAAAACACTATGCTGACTTTGTGTTCAGGATAGAGGGAAATACATACATATATATATACATATAATTATATATATAATTATATATCCATATATTAATATATATATATATTATATATCCACCTAAGTCAACTTCTAAGTCTAAGTATAGCCAACCATGGCTTACCCAACTTTGTCAATGCTTCCCATCAATGCCCCCACTCTTGGGCCCGAACGCTTGAAGCCCAGGACACGGCGTGCACCTCGCCCTTGTGAATGGCAAAGCTCTGAGTCTGCCAGCGGTGCTCCACATCAGTCTCGCCTGGAATCTGACGACCACGAAAAATGGAGATTGTGATCATCCAGGTTGAGGTCAGGGATTCAAGAGATATATGACAAATATACATACTAATATATACTAATATGATATACATTGCATACATTTAAACAAATGTGAAAATCACCGGCACCTGACCGCACTGTGCCCTGGTGGATCGTTGCAGTGACGGTTCCATCACTCAACGCACAGGCAAAAGCCTCAGCTGTGGTGGCAGCAACGGGTTGGTCTGAAAATTGATGGAAAAACTCTCAGATCCACTAATCTATCACCATTATTCCTATTACATCCATTTGGGTGGTAATTTTACTCCAATTTCAGACACACCCAAGGATATCCGTTGGTTCTCACACCCTTCGACATTGTAAGGTCCCATCCCATGCTGCGGGTGACTGAGTTCACAGCGGCTCCCACATTCGTCGGTGCCCATGACAGTGCCTGGTCTTCCAAAATACGTCGTGAGAATTTCATTTCACCCGAAACAGCTGAGGACGGCACACGGACTTCCCCATGTTTACTCAAGTTCTCTTCATGAACCTCAGAGCCGCATCAATCAAAAGCCAAAGATGCAACTCCTTGTTGAGCAGCGTTCAAAACACGAAATGTCGTCCCTTTAAACTGCTTGGTGGATGATGTTAATAGATGTTAATAGGATGTCCCAAATTTTAAAAATGGATGGTGAAAATCCCCAATATTGGATAGTATAAGCCCATATAATCATCAACCAACGTTGGTTTAGCACCCACTGCTCTTGTGGCTGAACCCATCAGCTGGGACTGCAACTATCTGCCACCTCTTTGGGTCTTGGCACGGACCCCACAGTAGGACCTCAGGGTCACCAGGCAGACTCTTGCCGTGAATTGCCAACTGCAATAGTAATACGGGGATCCCAATGTTTCACAAAGATGTTGTCAATTTAAGTCCGCACTTTGTTGCTTCATAAAATCTCCTTATTGAATTATGGCTCTTGGCCCGCAACAAAAATGAATGGTACCATAGTACTAAAAACACAATCAAAAAAAAATAATTTCTCAAAAGTCGGGAAAAAAAATGACTTTTTTGAAAACTAAACAAAATATCTGAAAAACAACCAGCCTTTTTGTGGCTCCATTGGTCCCCCAACGACTTCACCGATCTTCGAATTCTTCGAGGCTTGGACCCGTCCGTCGGATCCTCCGGTGAGAAGCAGGGCGCCAGCACCGGTGCCCACCGGAGCCCATGCCACCTTCACAACGTCGCAGGGCGTGCGTTGTGGGCAGGGCGTTTCTGGGAAGCGCCTCTGGAAATCAAGCATGGCTTTGCTGGGAAATCCCCCATACATGGGCTTTTAATTTCTATGTAAATGGAACATGTTATAATATCATATATATATATATATACATATTAATCCACAAATGGGAGATTTCCCACTGCCATGTTTGATTCCGGAAGTGTTTCCAAAAATGTCACAATCCCAAAAGTCCTGGTTTCCAAATTTCCAAGCACTACCAAAGTTTTGGGGACAAAATGATCAAAATGCCAAGAAGATCTGCAAAACCACCAAAAAGACGTACCGGGTGTTGGATTCCCGCCTGATGTACCGGGCCACTGTGGCCATCCAAATCGCAGAGGAAGAGGGGGTCCTCTGCCGAAACGTCCCACAGCTTCACCAAACCATCTTCGGACCTGAGAAATCTCAAGAAATGTCGGTAGATGTCAGTAGGAAGACAACATCCACTTTGGAACTTGTGACATCTACTGACATTGTGATGTTTGGAACTTGTGATGATCTTTGTTTTTTGGTCAACTGCGGTCATCAAAGCACCAGACGCAGTTGCTAATCTCAGACCAAGGTCGTCGAGCTGTGTGTCCAAAATGGGAGCAGTGTGAGCTGTGTCAAATTGTGACACAATCGCAGTCATCCATAAGCCTCCAAGATCCAGCAAATCTTCGCCGGATCCAAGGTCTTCCCAACTAATTTATATCCCAAAATCCCAAAAATGTGTTAGGACCTAATAATGGGATCATCATCCCAATAGCAGCTTTAACCCTTCTGGAAAATGAACGAAAATTTCCACCATCAACATCCA